CATCCCTTTTTCCAGAAAAAATATCTCGCCACGCGATGTATTGAAATACATTTCGCGACGCTCATGCATTGAATTTCGAGGGCGCGGAAATGCATTTCAATACATATTTTTGCTACATGAATAACCCCATTAAACATTTCGAAATTTTTCGATTTTGCAAAACTTCAAAATTTTAGAATTTTCCTATTTTGAAATTTTCGGAATTTCAGAATTTTCCGATTTTCAAAATTTAGGAATTATCAGACTTTCAAATTGTCGGATTTTCCAATTTTCAGAATTTTGAAAATTCAGAATGTTGTGAACTGATTTTGAAAACTTCGATTTTTAAAATTTCAATTTTTTGAAACTTTTAGATTATAAAAACTCCGGAATTTTGTGATTTTCAAAAGTTGAAACTTCGGAATATTTCAATTTTGAGAATTTCTTTTGATTTTCCGATTTTGCAAAATTTCGGATTTTAAAAATTTTGGAACTTTTCGAAAATCCAGAGTCTCAGAATTCCAGGATTTTAGTATTTCAAAAGTTTAGATTTGCAGAATATCAGGTTTTCGAAAATTCAGAATTTTGGAATGTTGCGATTTTGAATTTCTCGATTTTTAAATTTTTCGAACATCCCTGAATATCGATTTTTAGATCCCAACTCACATCAATGTATTCCAGCACCTCTGTCGCTTTCGCTAGATTAAATCGACACGCCTCTTCCAGTAGTTTCCTATAGTTTCCTGTTTGCCTTTCAGCAAGCACCCGAAAATGATCGACAACATTTTCAGCCACCAACAGAGGCAGTACTCCAGAATATTCTGTAGCTGATGACGTCGTTGGTGTGGAGACGTGCGGAAAGAGGTATTTATGAATTCGTGGGCAAACTGTTTCAATAGTTTTTCGCTCGAAATTCGAACGTCTGGATGAGATGGAGAATCGCCGGAAGACGTGGAGGGAACGCATTCTTGAAACTCCCAAACTCCGAAAAAATCTAGAAACCTAAAAAGTTCTAAAAATCGAAAAAAAAAAGCACTAGTCCTGGAATTATTTTCCAAGGGTACAACATAGAAGTGACAATTTTAAGACATTTATTATACACCCGTATTTACATAAATAAATTAGTTTTCTCTAAAAATCCAAAATCATCGATTCGTATCGAGCATCGCGTTCTCTCTAGCGATCACAGCTTCATCAAACTGAATCACGTAGGCGGTTCCATTGTGCCAGTGAGCCGTGACTTTGCATTTGAATGAGGCGCTCTGAAAATTAGTTTTATACATATCGTAAGCACTCTAAACTTTGAGCCCATATATCTAGGTTCCTGTCAAAGATAGCAAAATGTAAACACTTGCTAAAATGTCTATCATAATATCAGCGACATTTTTTCAGTTGACAACTTTTAGATACTTTTCACAGGAAGTGAAATATATGGGCTCAAAGTAATTTGCCTTCATTCGAAACTTACATCCAGAATAGCCTCAACGATTCCAGCAGCAAAAGCGGCGCAATTCAAGACTCCCTTGTCGCGTGGCACCGAGATGTAGGTGTTCATAAGTGGGTCCTTTTCAATTAGAAGATCTGGAAAAAATTCTATTTGTCTTAAACACTTTTTTTAGCTATTTAATATGCACAAAATCCCATTTTTCAGTTGATTTCCAGCCATTCTGACCACTTTCAGGAGTCTGGAGCTCGGCTGTCAAGTGTCCAATCAATTTGAAATTTTTGGAGAATGTAAAACAGACCTAGATTGAAAACTGTGCATCCACAAAATTTTTGAAATTTCCTAATTTTTCAGCTATTATCCGGTTTCTGAAAGACACCTGTTTTTTCCACAGTTTAAGTACAAAAACGGGCCAAAAAGGGTGTCTTTCCGAAATTGGCAAATATCTGAAAAAGTAGAAATTTTCCAAAATTCTGTAAATGCGAAGTTTTCAATCTAGGTCTGATTTACACCCTGCAAAATTTCAAAGTGATTGGACACTCGAGACCCGAGCTCCAGGCTTCTGAAAATGCTCAAAATGGCCAAAGATCGACTGAAGAATCGGTTTTGCGTATCTTATTCAGAGGTACTGTATAGAAGACTCTAGGATTCAGCAGATCTAGGAGACAGAAAATAGATAATCCGAAATTCTGAAATCCTGAATGGCTAACTCACAAGTACAATGATCATCATTAGATCTCTCCAACTTGTCGGCTTCCTTCCCAAATAAATTCTTCCAAACTGTCGATTTAATGAACATGAGCATTCCCAACAGCTTCGTCTCCCGTTTGTAACCCTTCTCTCTCAACACAATAATATCAAACATTCTCAATCCGACTTGTTTTCCGTACGACGCAATTTTGTCATGAATATCTGTGACGGTTTCCGATCGATTCTGGGCGTAGAGAACCATTTCGGAGAATAGGACTGCAAACGTGGACAGGTTGATCTCGCCCTTTCCGCGGCTCAACGATTTGTCCAGGATTCCTGTGGTTTTGGCCATTCTGGAAGAAGAGAATATGGGGTTATGGAGAAAGTGGAATTGGAAAATAATATCAAAATGTGTAGAATTGGAGTCTAGAATAGGGATTATTGGAACCGAAACGACTTTTTCCCGGAATTTTTGATGCTAAAATCGCAAAAACTTTCGAAAGAAAAATTGAGTTTTTCTTCAATTTTTGCACAATTTTTAGACCTTTTTAGGTTTTCAGCTATTTTCAACGATTATTTTTCGATTTTCTCGAATTTTCTGTCTGAAATTCGGGTGTTCTTGACGGAAGATTACTGTAGATTACTGTAATAAACCAATTCCCTTGTATTTTTTCTCTGGCAAAATTTTTTTGTCTGCATTTTGACGTATTGGTTTTTTCACAAAAACTACAATCTAGAAGATTTTCTACAGTAAGCTACAGTAGTCAAAACAGCGTTCCATCGAATTTCAGACAAAAAATTCGGTAAAACCGAAAAATAATCTTTGAAAATAGCAAAAAATCCTAAAAGGGTCTAAATTTCGCAAAAAACGAAGGAAATGGATTTTTCTCTTGAAAATCGCTATTTTTTCAGAGTTTTCAATTTTGGCGGGAATTCAGAAAAAAAACGGACTGAAAATGTGGTTTTTGGTACTGAAACTCATACAACTCTGCTGAAACCGGCGGGATGATTCTAAAAGTTTCAGAAGTGCCTAGATAATCTATTCTGATCCCAAACGTGCTTTTTCCTAGAAACAATTATGCCAAAAAATTTTAATTTTCAGAGAGTTATGGGCGGGTCTTTCTAGATTCAATCACTGCTTAATGGATGTTCTAAGATCCAGCCAATGAATGAGAAATTTTGGAAAAATCAATTAAATAGTAGGCCTTTCACATTTCTAACCCCTGAACATCCACATTCTCAATTACATTCCCTATTCAAACTCACCCAAAACCATACTTGCAAAATTTCGGGCCGGCCCGCTGTTTGTACAGCAGATGATTAAAAAAAAATTTTTTTTTGAAAATTTTATAATTTTTCAAAAATTTAATCAAAAACTATATTTTTTGACTACTTTCTACTTTTATAACTTTTAATAATTATGTAACGTTTTCTCTTTTTTAATTCAAAAAAATATCCCAATTTTTCATTGGAATTTTTTTTTACTGAGAAAGGGCTGGCCGGGAAAACTGTCGTTTCGGCCTGGCCCGGCCCGTTGCAAGTATGCCCAAAACTTCCAATTTCTAACCCTCTAAATTTCTTATAATTCAAAACTCCCGACCCCTCCCTCGTCCTAGGACCTCTTTTATGGACCACCCTCTGCTTCTATGGCAACCAGAGCTCTCTTCTTTCCCACACCTGCTCCGGAGAAAAAAGAGAGAAAGAGACAGCAGACAAATCCATAAAAGAGAAGAGACCCTCCCAAAAATATATTCGTTTTTAGTTATTTTATTTATTGCAAGCTACTAAAATGGACGACGTCGTTGAGGAGAAAAACAAGATTGCTCGCTTCCATAATCTTCTGATTCGACCCAATATTGGTGAATTTTTGGGAGCGTTTTTCTTTTCTTTTTTAGGTAATTTTCTTTCGGATTCTTCCAAAAATATCAAGTTTTCCAGCATGTTTCGCGGGCCAATGTCAGCGCTCCAACGGCCTAATCTACCCATTTCTCTCCGCATTTTCCCTCTATATCTCCCGAAGTCTAGTGCTGCCTCTAACACCCGCTCATCTGAATCCAGCAGTCACTTTTCTGCATTGGCTACGAAACGAGGTGCCTTTAGCGATAGCCGTCACATTCTGTTTGGTTCAACTCGTCGGTTTTCTTTTCGGAGTTTCCTTATTTCGATCACTCGTCTCGCAAACGGAATTCAACGATTATGTGGTGATGTATGAGATCGTGGCGGTAGACGGAGTGAGAAAGATTAATCGATTACAGGTAAAATGACAGAAAATTAGAGAAAATTTTTGGGGGGTTTTTACAGCGCAAACTTCAAAAATTGTCTAAGAATTTCGTTTAAAGGTGGGGGGACAGGAGGTTCTTCGATGTTTTTTTGTAGTTAGAGTATGCATTCTACCGTCACGGTGTACAACGCTTAATGTCACTCTGCGTACAGCTGTCGTCCTCGCCTTTATGTATGCAATCGGGCGTGCGCTTTCTCTTTGCCCGCTTGGATCAGTCGGTAGCGGCGCCGCACCCTCAATCATCGCCCTCACAAGTTCAACTCCTCGAGGGGCATCTTTGAACGGAATTTCGACAACATTATTCTTCTCATGTCCCCCCCCCCCTTTAAAAAATTGTCAATTTTTAGTTTTTTTTCTAAAAATTTAAAAAATTCCAGGCTTTCCTTCTAGAAGTCGTTCTCTCAATGATTTTCCATCTGGCCCACAGTCTTGGGGATCGACAGGAAACTACAGTAGCCGCTGCATGGGTAGGACACTTTGTAATCGTTTTGTAAAACCTGTATTATAAGGGCCCTTCAATTTTTTTCACGGAAAAATTCGGTGAATTTTCACTCAAAATTCATGAAAAATGAGCAAAATTTTCCAGCAAAATTTCATCAAATTTAAGATGCTTTTCTATTAGAGGGCCCTTCTAATACAGGTTTTACGGCAGTATTTTTTTCAGGGTTTCATCCAATTCGTATCCTATCCGTTATATGGATTCACTTCGAATATCACCCTTCTTCTGGTCACTTCTACAGTATCCTATATTTTTTCGCCACTGACCACGCCCTCTTTTTTACTGTTGTACTTGAATGTATTCGCATCGCTAATAGCAGCGTTGGCTGCTTGGTGTCTAGATTTGTGAGTTTTAAGAGAATTTAGGGATTTTAATGATTTAAAAAATTTCAGATTATGCCAAAGGAGTGTGGAAGAGGAAGAATAAGGAGAAGAGAAGAAATAATAAAGTGATTAATTCAACAGCTTCTACTATATTTTTTGTAACTCAACAAAAATAAAGAAATTCTCGACCGCAAAATGGTTTATTTATTAAAGGATCATTCAGAAAACTAGGGTGATGATATAAGCACAACAGCGGCTTTTAAATATACACACATTACACTTTTATGCCATAACCACACTGATAGCCAGGTGATTATAGAGCAGAATTTGGGAGTGTATGGTGCGCGCGGGTACGACAAATGAGACAATTGGCGTCAATTTGAATGAATGGAAGTGTGGTGGGGGTGAGAGAGAGATGGGATAGAAATATGTGGGAGTGAAAGTGTGGGGACTTATATTTATATATTTTCAGCGGGGGGTGACGAAAAAGTCGTAGATGACATCAGAAAAGTTGGGGAGGGACGGATGATGGTGAAAAACAAACGAAAAACAGAATACGCGCCGAATGTTAATATAATAGCAGGGATTGGGGTGGAGAAGCGCTTAGAAATAGAAAAAGAATACCGAGGAAGAACAGGCGGTAGTGCCCCTCTCCTCAAAATAGATAATACATTTTTCTTTCAACAGTTTAATTGACATGAAATAATGATAGGGACGGAAAGGAAAAGAGAGAAGGAAATTGGTTTACATTCCATTGTCGAAGAAGTTATGGGACTGGAACATGTTATGGTGTCCACCAGCTGGTTGTTGTTGCGGAGTAGGTCCTCGCATCTGCTGTTGCTGTTGTGGTGGATTGTGCCATGGAGCGTAGCCGCCTGGAGCAAATGCTGATGTTTGTTTAAAGTGACATCAAGTTATTAAGATCTTACCTTGACTGTTCGATAAATCTCCGCCACCATTGTGACCTCCCATCATGCGAGCTCCGTACTCTTGATTTCCGGAGTTCTGTTGTTGCATGGTTTGAGCATTCCACATATCACCATAACCACGTGGCTGCTGTTGTTGCACCCGTTGTTGGTTCTGATGATGGTGTTGCATTTGGGACTGCTGATAACCACCCTGACCCATATTCACAGACGGCTGTGGTTGTTGTGGCTGACTAGCGGATCGGATGTATGAAGGGGCAGTTGGAGGGGCTCCACCGGAGACCATACCATTGCCCATCGAAGCCGATGGTCCCTGCAAAAGCTTTTAAAATGATAGCATCAATATAGTTCTAAAGGAAACATACTCTCAGGAAGTCGGATCCAAGACTACCGCTAGTGTTTCCATTGGCGGCCCAAATATCTCTTTGCAGAGAATCCATAGACTGGTTGAACGAACTCTCGCTGCGGCTTGGCTCACGGAGATCACCGAGATTGCCTATGGTACCAATTGTGTTCCATGACCACAATGAAGACGAGGTGTCGTCAGCGCGGTTGGTTTTGAGACCAATTGGAGATGGAACTCTGGAAACACGAGCTGCACGAGAAGGTGTAGCAGCAGCGGTTGGTGTTTCAACAGCACTTGGTTGTCGAGTGGCAACTGGAGTTCGTGGTTGTCCGATAACACCGGCAGCTGGAGTTGGGAGAACTGGTGGAGGAAGAACGGATGGGGATGGAGCAACAACTTGGACTGGTGGTGGCTTCACAAGATTTGGAAGGGTATCAGCAGCAGGAACTTTGATGTCAAGAGTTTGCGAAAGCGTCTTGACTCCATTCTTGATGTGCTCAGTAGCATGATCATACTCAGCTTTCACAGACTTGATTTGGGCATCTATTTTGTCCAGAGCAGCCTTCCATTCAGCAAGAGACTTCCGCAGGACATCACGATCATTGACTTGGCGGGTGCTGAAAAAAAGTTCACTTGGTTTATGAAAAAAAAAAACAAATAGGTCACATACCGGTTGGCAAGAGTTTCAGTTTCGGTAAATCCGTGATGGATAGCCTCTCTTCTCTTCTTGAGCTCTTCGCTGGCAATATTCCACTTTGATTCCATAACAGCAACTTCAGCTGCACGTGCTCTTTCGGTCATTGAGGCCAATTGTCCAGCAACAGCCTTCTTGTCCTTCTCGAACTTCTCCTTTTGACGGGTGACTTCTTCAACTTCCTTGCGTGCCTTATCTCTTTCAGTTTCTTTCTCGGTGATCTCGATTGCCTGTTGGCGAATCGTTTGAGTATCCCGATCCTTCTCCTTCTTCGCCTTGGTGCGTTCTTCAGTCGACTTCTTCTTCAAAGTCTCCAATTCCTTTCGCATGACCTTCGACTTTTCGTCGAGCTCGTTTAGTGAAACCTGGAGACCCGTTGCTCGATTCTCTTCCTTTGTCGCCTTGCTTTCAGCCTTCTTCAATGCTACTTTCAGGTCTTTATTTTCCTTCAATGCCTTTGCATTCTTCTCCTGTTCCTCAGCAAGTTTGACAGCTTGCTCAGCCACCTTTCTATCATTGACCTTTCGTTCCTCGAAAGATATAGAAAGAGCCTCGCGGGTTGCTTTCAATTCTTCGCTCGATTCATTCTCTAGTTTGGTCTTTTCAGCAAGCAACTCATTGATCCTCGCTGCTACATCTCCATGCTCACCGCAGAATTGAACAATGAAACGGTGAACTCGTTCGCTGTTAGAAGCGATTTGCGCCATCATTGGTTGCAATCTTTTATGAAGATCCTTGAAATTTTCAAGAGCATCACGCATACGAACAGTGTTATCCTCTCCTGACCCAATTGGATTTGGGTTTTCTGGGACGCGCATGAAGTCGCTGACAAGGCCACGGTTAGTTTCACCGGTTGCGTCGTTCGGAACGACTTGCTTCATCGAACGCTTAGCAATAACTGTTGGGCGTCCGTTGATGACCGACTTGGCACTTGATCCTGAAGTTGCAGCAGCACTGGTTGTTTTCTTGGTGGTTGTTTCTGTTTGTTTCTTGGCATCTGCCGGAATGGCTGGGAATCCTGTCTTGATATTCGACGAAAATGATTCCTTGATGTTCTCGAAATCAGCGGCGACCTTCTGAGATGCGCAGTAAGCCATACGGGCATTCTCGTAACAAGTGTTGGCACAACTGACAGTTTCTCGGAACTCATGGTCCAATGCAACTATCAATGGGTTGATTTTGTAGTTCAATTCATCTAACAAATCTTGACGGTCTTCCTCGCTGAGCCGAGCCAAAACACCATCAGGGTCAACATTGCCGCTGAGAGCGCCTTCGAGGTCCAACCAGCTCTTGAGCATTTTGTCCAATTGAGTGACCGGAGCTTGTCCATCCAGAACAGTTCCATCAGCAGCTGCCTCTTCACCATTCACAACTGGCAAACTCTCGAGCACGTCGTTTGTGAATGAGTCTTGTTCTTCTCCGCCTTCTCCACCAAACACTGTCTCAACGGCATCCTCTGGATTGGCATTGATTCCGGTTCGGGTGTAGTACGAGTCGGTGAAGACTGTCGCCTTGGTGGTGTCTTGGTCCTGGAACTGACGAATAACACTTTCCGTGATCATCCGCTGGAACTCAGCACTCTTTACGAAAAGATAAGCTTGTTCTCAGCAAAAACCTACCTCCTCATTTTTCAAGGATGCTCGTCTATTGACAGGAAACTCTTCTAAAATCAAACTCAGTACCTCTTCATAATCCTCGGTTTGAACCATGCGGTCGCAGAGATGGATGTCGTCGCTGTCACCGTCACGGTCGTCACCGTCCTCCTCCCAGTGCTGATCATCGTCCACGTCGTCGTCGATGTTGTCATGGTCCTCGAACAACTCGAGAGTACTGCAATCGTCACTTTGATTTTTGTAATCTCCTCCTTCTTCATACTCATTCTCTTCATACTCATCGTCGAACTCAGCTTCCTCGTCCTCGTCACTAATACCTGTCTTCTCTTCTTGAGACTCTTCGGAGTCAGTTTGCTCCTCAGCCTCGGCCTCTTCCTTGGATCTGTTGGCATCCTTCTTGGAAGCGTCGTCAGACTTGTTGCTCTTTCTCTTTTCGACCAAGTCTGAAAATTTAAAATGCTGAACATCAACAGCACAATAGCTATACCTTTGACGGTTGGCCCGGTATTGGTTCTCTGCTGGTTGGTGTTGTTTCTGGAAAGCCAATAAGATTATAGTAATGCCTAGTCTTCAAGCGTTTCTTACTGATCATATGGCTTCTTCTTCTTCATGTGTTGCACTGTCACTACTGCTCGCGTCTTCTTGCCACCCTTTGCCGTCATCTTTCCATTCAACGATTTCTGGGCGCCAGTCAACGCTTGCCGTAGAGACGTCGGCTTTCCATTTGTAGTTTCTGGAGCAGCGACTGGTCCCTTCTCTATACGCTCGATACTCTCAAAGAGCTTCGCATTCACGAAAGTTTCCCGCTGGGTTTCAAGACGAGCATAACAAACGTCATCCTTTCCCTTGCAGAATTTCATAGCACTTTGATTAGCTTCGAGAGCCAGGTCGATATTACCCTTCTTCATCTGCATATCAGCCAGCACAATCCACTTTTCAATCTTATCCAGAAAGTCTTCGTGTGTCATCATGTTCTTTGGTGCTTCTGCCTTGACAGCGATTTCCAAAACAACAGTGTCATCGCGTATATACCCTTGACCTTCATCAATTATGTCCTGAAAATTTAAACCTGAATGTTAACGGATAGGGGTGATTGTACTAACCGCCCATGTCATAAAACACGAGTATCCCCAATCGTTTTCCTTCGAAGTATACGTGTGTGTCGTTCGTCGGGCAAAGTGAGGGACATTCGGCTTGTATGAAATCATGCGCATATCAGCAACTGCGTGAACACTCCATTGGCTGAAAATTAACACTTATCTCTTCTGGCCATTGAATTTAGTATACTAACTCAGAATAGGCTCTTTCCGGAGCACACTGTAGGAAGAATCCCATACACTTTTGCTGCTTTTTCTGTACCATATGCTGTTTTGGCATCACCATAATCTTCCATGAGACTCCTTCTATCGATTTCGGCTTGGAACACATCGTCTCTTCCAGCTGTGAGAACTGGTTGATGACAAGTCGTAGTTTGCAGTTATCGTCGGTCCACGATGGCCCATCTCCTTTAGCGTTTCCGTTTGAAGCTGCGTTAGACGAAGAGGCATTGGCAGCAGTGTTAGCGTTCTGAAGACAAATGGGTCCTCAAGAGGTACTAATCAGTGATTCTCACCTGTTTCTTCGGTTCCCCGGCAGCACCTGTCGTTGAAGCAGCTCGTGTTTTTGACTGTTGTGTAGTAGGCTGTTGAGGTGGAGTCTGGGTATTTGTCGTAGTAGAATTATTGAGCATTGCGGTTTTCTTTTCTCCAAAATAGGCTTCAATTTCGTTTGGCTTCACACCAGCAGGACCGGATAACTTTTTCTCAGCAGGAGGCTGAAATATTGAAATTAGTGATCTTGCCACAGAAAATTGTACCTACCACTGTTTGATTTGTTGATGGCGCGGGTGATGATGAAGCTGCTTGTGTCGGCGGTGTGGACGTTCCTGATGCTGATGCAGACGCTGATGACGGGGTATCTGAACATAAAAATTAAATCGTTTTTCAAATAGTTTATTGGCTTACCGGGGTTGTTTGCACCACCACCAGCGGCCTGTTGTGACGTTGCGTTTGATGAGGGCTGAGAGGGATTCTGATGCTGGCATCCTGCACTGCTGGATTGATCTGTCTGACAGGCAACATCAGTGCCTATCCTCGTTCTGGAACTAAAATAGCCTTGTTTATTATGTCCTTTTTAAAACTGTTTGTTTCGAGAACTTTCAGTTATGCTTTCTGAGAAAGCTTTTCTCCATGAATCATGTTCTATTCACATGATCCATCTTCTCTTTCCTAGCCATTCCTTTGCTGTGAAACGAATATTCTTTTTTGTGTGATGAATTGCCTTAAAACCGGTTGTTCCCCCCTATATCCTTTCTCTGACTGGTAATTCATCATATCACAGTCACGACCTGATTCCTTTTGATTCGCGGAAACAAACTTTCATCACAATCTCATATATATCTTACCTGGCCTTCTTTTTCTGATGAAGTTCACATTGACCTTGACCTTCCATTTTGTCTGTTTTTTTGGGGATTTGGGGTTGAAAAAAGTTTCAGTTGGGGATTGATTTGATAGTTCGGTTTCAACAGCACACTTCGTTACGGGCGTGTCGTCGAGTCGAAGATCGTAAATTTGAACAACTGTGTAGCTACTGAAAGTTGTTAACGATAAATTTTTTAACTGCAAAGAAAGGTAACGGAGAGTGAAATGAACAAATATAAGCGGGGGAAAAATCAATCGATTCGACAATCGATGACAAAACGAGGCAAAAGTACCGAGAATCGAGGAACGAGAGAAGGGATGAAGAAAGAAAGAAGGAAGGAGGTGTACGACCCAAAAACTATTGTTGGAGAGGGGAAAATAGAGAAAGAGAGAGAGAGAGAGAGAGAGAGAAAAGCGGATAAAACGAACGCAAACGGGCCGGGGCAATGGGAAGAAAAACAGCGAGAGGAGAAGAGACATGAGGGACGCGAAGGGGGCAAAAGATGTAGAGGGAGAAGAAGATGCTGCTATAGGGCTGGCTGGCTTGCGGCGGTCGGGCGGTGGCGAGTAAGAGGGGACACCATAGACACACATTGAGAAGAGAAGAGAAGACACGTCGGAAATCGATCAAGTAGCGGCCACTATTGCAGCGATGGAAACCGACGGCGGTCCTCGTCTCTTCTCTCGGAGAGAGACTGACACGAATCAGACAGATGAGAACGATGGAAATTCTACGGGCACTACTACGAAAAAAAAATTGCGCTACCACTGACGAGATCGACAACAGAAGCGCGCAATTTCAATTAGTCAGGAACGATTCTTAAAGATAAAAGCTTCGGAAATCTAGATCCTCTCAGTGAAATTAGATACTTTTGAAGACAAAAGTGGATTAGTAACTGACAAGGGAACCTTTTAAGTGAAGGTAGGAGTTAGCAGAAACCACCTACATAGATCGGAAGAGCATAGTCGAAAACCTATAAATCCGTTTTCAAAGTCTGCTTACGAGACTTTTGAAGTGCTGAAATTTCAGTTTCAGTGCCAAAAATCCCATTTTCAGCGAAATCAGCTATTTTCAAATTTGATTTTCTCCACTCCTAGGAAGTTTTAGGACTTGAAATTTTCTGTGTAATACTCAAAACTATGTGAAATTTTATATTTCAGACAGTTTCTACATTTTCAAAAAAAAAATTTTTTGGCCCAGCGAAAATCTTGGCAAGTTTTAAAACTTTCCAAAACTTTTCCGAAAATACTTTTTTTTTCAGAAAATGTTCGAAATATGAAACTTCACATAGTTTTGAGTATTACACAAAAAGTTTCAAGTCCTAAAACCTCATAGGAGTGGAGAAAATCAAATTTGAAAATAGCTGATTTCGCTGAAAATGTGATTTTTGGCACTGAAACTGAAATTTCAGCACTTCAAAAGTCAGACTTTGAAAACGGATTTATAGGTTTTCGACTATGCTCTTCCGATCTATGTAGGTGGTTTCTGCTAACTCCTACCTTCACTTAAAAGGTTCTCTTGTGAGAACTGACAAAGATTGTGTGACCTCATCTAAAAAACCCAATAAATAGTATCAAAACAGTTTGCCCATTATTTGATTCTCATGAAACACGGTGTTTTTTATCCCGGAATGTTTTTCAAAATAATTTTTTCGCGCCTTTTTTGATGGAACGCAGGCACCGCTGAGTAGCGACTTAGCAGTTCAATTTTAAGCTTTCGCGTCGAAACCAAACGATAATTCTACAGTAGAATTACGGTCATCGCATTTGAGCGCATTTGTATGACGTCCCAAAAAAACACCGTGATGAAAAAATCTTTCTTCTGGCTTTCATTTTTCGACATTGAATCGTGTCAGATTGAAACTTAAAGTCGAATGATGCAAGTATCGAAAACTGAACACAAGCCTAGCCAATCTTCCCTTAACATCTTTAGAAAATAAGAGATAAATGCCTATTGCATGATTGGAAAAGGGAGTGTTCGATGACTGTTTCGCTATCAATCTTTTGACCAGTCACTTTTTTTTATGAGTTTCTAGTTAAGATGGTGACGGCCTATGATTAGTTTTGCAAAACGAAAACTTTTCGAAGTCGTGATCAGAAGAGGAAAAAAGAAAACTATTTCGTCGAATGGAATGATGAAGAGGTTCTCGAATGGCTGTTAAAACTGCGGCCAACGATGGAATGACATAGGCGGAATAGATAGGATGTTAGGGTCGGTCGGGACACATCAAAAAGGTAACAAGGACGAAAGTAATGAGAAGAGATGGGTTGAACGATTAGGGTGTCGTTGAATTAAAGACAAAAGTTTCCTTCTCTTCCAGAACAGTTTAGACCAAAGCTTTTTTTAAAGTTTGCGCTGACGATAGGTGTACCGAAAGACCGACAACCGTTAGTAGTCGTCAACAAAGTTCACAGAAATATAATGTGAGTGATGTTGTGCTAGATTGAATTTATGAACCGAGTAAACAAAATGAGAAATATTATAAATAATTGGGGGGGGGGGGGGGCCGAGAAAAATTGATGGCTGCAGCATCAGACTAGTGTGACGTCAGAGGAGACATTTCAGAGAAATAAGCAAATGAAATCATTTTCGGGCGAATATTTAGTAAGGAAAAACATAAAAATAACTAATAATAAAACGAAACTGGGACCGGGGATTTGTAACGGAAGATTCCAGAAAATAGACACTTTGGACTGCTTTCTGGGCCCAGAAATCTTAGATTTGGGGAATATAATGACTTGAACACGAAAAATTCAAAAAAAGAGCTCATTCTCTTCAATAAGAACAGAAACCAAAGTGGTGGAGTGTTCCACATGTCAATCAATAAAACGACAGGCGCAACAGCCATCCGAACAAGCGTTTTCGTCGATTCCCTCTTGATCCAACCTGTTTATTCTCATTGTCCGCATTTTCAGCTATTTTTTTATCGAAGAATTCTCTCAATTTTTGTGGAAAACAACGGAAAACAAGAGAAAACAAAAGAGAAAAAGCTCTCTTGCTCGAACATTTCTCCGCACTGCTAATTTCCTCGTTCGCGGCGAGACCCGAGCGAGTGGAGAACGACATGCGCCTTTAAAACCTAGTATTTCGAATCGGAAAAATCAAAAAACGAGAGATGTTTCACCTTCTTTTTTATAATTTTCAATTGATTTTTTTTGTTTTTCATGTTTCTAATCTAAATTTCTGCAATTTTTCACATTTTTTATAGGTTAAATACTGATTTTTGGCTAAAATTCGACTTAAAATTCGATTTTTCCGATTTGTCAAAATGTTTTATCAAAAACTATGTTTTCAGAGAACTAAACCATGTATAACGGTATAGGACTTCAAACCGCACGCGGTTCCGGCACAAATGGATACGTTCAATCGAATTTGTCGCATCTTATGCAAGCAAGAGTGAGTTTTTACTAAAAAATCTAATTGTTTCAATAAAATAAATTGATTTTTTTTCAGAGAAAAATCGAGTATAATGGCGAGGAAGATTTGCGAAAAATGGAAGCTGATCTCAACAAAAAACCCAACGAAGAGATTATGGATCACAACAGAAAGCGGCAGATTGAAGTGAAGTGTACTGAATTCGAAATGCTACTCGAAGATAAAGGTTTGGATGATGAAGATATCGAGAAAAAGGTCAACGAATATCGTCAGAACCTTTTGAAACAACTCGAATCTGGAGAGCTCAACGTCGATAAAGAGTTAGATACGAGAGAGTCTCATGCTAGAAGACGTGCCGCCGCTCAGAACAGAGATAAAATGAGAAACGCGTTGGGATTGGGCGAAGACTACGTTCCCGGAAGTTCTATGGCCAAAATGAACAAATCTGACATTGTTGGAGCAGCTCTGGAATCAGAGCTTCCACTGAAAGACGACAAAGAGGAGA